GGCGCAAGCCAATATTTAAAACAAAATGAGCATACCCGTATGTATGAATCGTGGAACCGTTAGCGGCGCATAATTCATAATTTGTTTTGTGACGATGCTTGCTGATTAATTTTTTGGGGAAAACACAAATGTCGCTACCTGTATCAACTAAAAATTGTATTTTAGTACGACTGTCTGTTACAAATAAGCGACCGGAGTTTGGACAGGCGTCGGTCGCCATTACGATCTGCCCTACACTTTTCCCGAATAATCACAAGGTTTCACGCACTTAGTAGCTTTATCACTGAATTTAGAATGATACCAACACACAGGAAATTTTTTATAGTTGGATTGTGACCGTCGGTGATGTGAATTTTCACGGGAACGATCGTTAGAAGTTAATCTTCGTCGTTGTCGCGACATCCTTTCTACTTTCTTGTTCAAGAATTGTATCTGTCGTGTGAGCTCGGCGATTTGGTTGGACGTATCGGTAGAACTTCCAGGTGTCACCGATGCTGCTGCTACTTGTGGGCTTGGTGGGACGATGTCATGGATTTTATCTGCCAGCTCCGCGACTTCCTCCAGCGATGCGTTCAGTTGGGATGCTATGATTGACTGCGTACTACTCGGCAGGCGGCTGGTCCAAATTGTCTTTAGAAATTCCTCAGGAATCTCTGGCCCTGCGAGGTGTTGAAGGTGACGTAGGAACTGTGACGGTTTCCTGTCGCCCAGCTCTTCGTGTATGAGTAATTGTTTCACCTTCTTTTCCCTCGATGCGGACAGACGTTTAATAAGCTCCGTCTTTAACCGCTCGTAATTGTACGGTGATGGTGGTGCCGATATTATGTCTTCAACTTCCGATGCGTAGACAGGGTCCAATTGACTGATGGCGTAGTGGAATTTAGTAGCATCCGTGGTTATATTTGCCAGATAAAATTGGCTCTCTAGCTGTGCGAACCATAACGCCGGCTTCTCTGGATAAAATGGCGGAACCCGTACACCAACACGATGAACATCACTCGGCGGATTTGATGCTTCGCTTTGCTCCGATGTCTTCGTAGGCTCACTCATGATGTGCTCAATCGGGGTCACCAGTGAGGCGGTGGTGATGTAACTCCAAATAAATTATGTTAGATTTTTAAAGTTTTTATTCACCACTCACATGTGTAAAAAGTAATAAAATATAAGCACAAAAGTTAACGCCGCGCCGCGCGGTCTCACGCCTGCGCAGTAACCGCGTCTCGAGCTAGTGCGAGCGCCAAAATTATATAAGAAGAAACTAGATGTGTTTGTCCTTGTGTAACACAAATTCGAACAATTACATTAAATATTATTTCTTAAATTTAACATGTTAAACAATTTTATATATTGTGTTATTTGGTATTTGTACATATAATTTAATTAAATATAATATTTTTTATAATGTTTACTTAAACAAATATTTGACCTTATGCATATACATTTATTTATATATAGGTACACTACAGTGTTATGGGCAGTACTCTGTAGTCTCTGTCCTGTCATCTCTATAAGTAGGATCAATAAATCAATCACTATAGCTAATTCTGTCTGGTTACTGACGGATAAGGAAAACCCTTTTATGGTTGGATTTTCTGTCATTCTTGTCTAGATATCTATTATTTATTTTTAGAGCGTTTTGACTGTCTAGCTTTTTTAAAATGAATCAAATGTTTCTAAAAGGCGAAGGAATCTACTTCGATATAGCCATGTAAAAGAAACTTTGAATGTTTAATGGTTCATTATACGTAGGATTGCGTTTAAAAGTGTTTTAATCGATTTTAAAAACAATGGGCTTTCCTAGGCACCGCTCTGTAGATAATCTTCATTTATTTATTCATATACCTTTAAATACCTTTAAACAGTTAAGAATTAGCTTTAATTCTTTTCGACATTGTAAGAAAACCAATGACATTTATCAAAAAAAAAATCACTTAAGTACTGTTCAAAAATCAAACGCCAAGAATCGTGATTCATTATTGTTTGCGTACCTCAAATAAAGAGAGAACGGCTGACAGTATTTTTTCTAACAGTGACTAAGCTGCACTCACTATCGACAGTTCGTTGAACCTCACCACAGATTCTAGGAAAGTGTCTCTAAATGGACCCATTGATAGCCGAGGCCATCGTAAACTAATTACGTTTGTGTCCATAAAACCCCCGGCTGTTGATACATCTCGCATCACCGATTGCCGTCCGCTGTCGTCCACATTAAAGGAGATTTAACTGCCGTTTGCTTACTCTATTGTTTTTTTTTTCAATTTCTCCAAGTATTTGTTGTTACAGGCTCGTTGATGATGTGCCGTGTTCTTGAATTTCAACAAATATTAATGTTGTCCTGGTTTTGCATATAGCAAACACTATAACTTTTTATTTTGATTTTTGCCACGTCCAGAATGTCCCGATTTGTTTTTATTAAACGATGGTAACACTGGTTTAATTTTACCAATAACACAGTAGCATTTCACTTGAACTAAATTTAGATTTACTCAGTTCTATCAAACTGTGTTTTGAAGATAACTGAAGTAAGCCTACTATGTTTTAGTATACAGCGGTGCTATTAATCCTATTAATAAACAAGGTTTAGCGTCAGAGTAAATTTACGATAAAATTGCAAATTAGTATTGATTCAAATTCATATTATACAGAGAATAAGCAATTCGAGGAGAACTCCCGTGGAATCTCGTACTAGGTTAACCTCCACTAAGTCTCTGTTTAATAATATGAATTTTGATAAATATTAAGTGCAGTCTCGGCGTGAATTTACTCCAACGAACCCTGTTTATTAATAACACTGCAGAGTATAATTATATTTTTTTTTTCTTCCAAATGACTATTGAATTCGTTAAATCAAACTCAAACCAAAGTTAAACTTTATTTTAATTTAGCTTAGTTTGGAAAGTAATATTATTATTTAAGATATTTTACAGAATAGACTCTATCAGACAAAGACTTAATATATTTGCAAATATTTTTAAATTGAACTTTTGCTCTTCACCGATACTAGCTCTTCACATTTTATGGATATTATATAAATTTCAACATTTAACCTTGATCAAACTTAGGCTTCCCTGATAAGTTTGATGTACGACTGACTTAAATGTAGTTATTTAATGATAAATAACGTTCGAAGCGAAGCCACTTAAAGCGAGGTGAACGGTCATTAGACAAACATATGACTAACCAGCCGGTGTCACCAATAGCCTAACGTTACAAGTCTGATTCACCAAGACGAGCCATTGAATACAATGCGCGAGGTTTAATTTATGACCTGATTATTTCTGCCACTGTTACGTTTGCATGAACTTCCAAACGATCATTTCAAGAAACTTTAAATGTGATTTAAGTTCAGACTGAATTCCTTTTAAAACCTGTCCAACAATTTTCGCGTGAAAAGAACGAAACGTTTCAACTGTTATGTTTATAATATTATTTATATTTTTAAACCGGATTTCGCTTCTTTAACATTTATAACTGTTTTAACACACGAGCGTAGAACTTTATCTATTTCTAATATTGGAAAAATATCTTGAGGAAATAGTTTATGCACATATATTTGCAATAATTCTCTTTACATTTTAAATTCATTATATAACATATGGTTAAGTGTATCTTTGCAATTGAAACTCTGTGACTTAAAATTGTATGAAAATATATTTTGCACTAAAACATACTGTCATAAACTGAATCCGGATCAAGCGTTGGCAACATAGGGGCAACTAATGAAACCGTTTGAGGGTATTCCTGTCAATTTTTATATAATCCAGGGTAGTTCCTGCCAGATGTCGTTTGATTTACCGCAGTTTCATCTTTATTAACTGAAGCGGCCGCCTGCGCACGCGCATAATGCACTGTTTTCATTTAATTTCATCAGTGAAGGGAGAGAATGTAGGGTTGCCGGCCTTTTTGTTTTTCGATAGTTAATTATGCTTTCGTTTTGACCTGATGAAGATACTACAACGAGACAGGAATATATTATATATATTTATGTCTTTCCATCTTTTTTAAATTTACAGCTTTTTACACGTTACAAAGGTCAATGAAGGATAAATGAAATGGATGGCTTTTGCACCTCATTTCATAGCTCACAGAATAATTCCTAATATTTCATTATGCTTTCATATTTATAATTATGTCTTAGATAATAACTAAACATTTTTTTGTATAAAGGTACAAAGTGAAATCTTAAAGTTTTTTTAATCAATATTCGTTATTCATAGCGCAGTTTCCAAACTGTACTGTTATGTAAAAAAATACGTATAATTTCCGTTATTTTGGTCAAACCGTCTGACAAATCTTAGCGTCGCCAAAAGACTGAATCATAATGTCAGTGACCTGATATACATTATAGACATATTAGAATGAGGATTTTATATTGGCTCAGCAAAGATTTTAGGTAAATTTTTCACTTTGTAGTATTCTGAGAGCTGCTGTGTAGCTGTTTCTTTGTTAGACTTTGTTGGTTAAGATTTTTTTATCTCTTTTTCTTCTTCCTTAAAATATTTGGCTAACGGTGGGTTGTATTAATTTAATTTTCCGTGCTAATAGATAATAGAAATAGATTAGGTGCTGTTAACACCATCCATTATAGTTCATAAACTGACATTCATAAAAAATGATCTGTGATAACCCTTGCAGTAAGATAATATCTTTGAAGCGTGACTTAGTTAAGATTAACTGTCGAACAGATTTCAGGTTCATACACCTTGGTTATTTTCAGTGATTCTATTTTCGGTCGACTTTAACTCCCTGCAATGTTTCCATACAACTAAATTATAAATAAAACGGAATCGTATTGAGGATGTGAATGTTATAATTATTATTAGGTCTGGTCACAGATATAATAAACTACGTTCAAATATGTATGTGTGAGAGAGAGATATATAGAGAGAATCACAGAGTCTCAAACAGATTCTTCAAAAAAATGTATACTTTACTTTGATAAAGACTTTTGCTAATTTTTCGGCGCCCTTCCAAAACTGAAACCTGAATCGTTCTCTCAAATGAGGATACTTCGCAGCGTGATTTATCAGGTAGAGCAACCACACTTTGTCTCGCTCATCAGAGTATGTCTTAGTGGTTGTAGAGTCCGGATTTGTGCATGTGATGCAATTACCCTTTTTTACAACGGGAAATGCATTACTGCCTACTTCATTTCCCCTGCAAGGGTCCACGAGATTATGTGGGGGTTTCTCCAGAAGAGGGCTAATCGAAATGCAGGGATATACCCATTAAAACTCACCGATGTCCCAGCGGGCGATGTACGGTAAAAGATGCTTTTACCCTACGTAAACAAAAAAAAGATGAGTTAATTTAGCTCTGGGTTCTTAGGATCCGACTTCACAAGTTTATTATTACCTATTTGATACGCTTTTAATGAATTTGCAAATATTTAAAATAAATCGGTGAGTAATTTTAGTACATCAATTATCTTTAAAACAGTTTCCCATTGACGCTCTTACATAAAAAGCGCCATGAATATAAAATTTACTCAGCGCCTTATTTATTGATCGAATAGATTTTGACTTCTGATTATCTTAAAGGTACGTATAATATAACCCACCGATTATTTTAGTACTTTTTTGTGGTGACAAAACTACCAAGAATTTGAAGCTTAGATCATTTTACTGAAGAATCATGATAAGTTATACTTTACGGCATTTCTAAATTTATGTTATTTGTTGTTGCAGGCGTGCGCCCCTCGCTACGTGTCCTTTGTGTCCCACAAACTGAACCAACGAGACCCCGTGGGTACCTGCTTCGTCACCAAAACCTCTGACGTCAGCAAAGTTGAAGAAATATCTCCTTGCAGAACTAGTAAGTTCTATTACAATAAATTTCACATGCTTATAAACTTGGCCAGTCCAAATTTCGTAAAGATGTTTTCATTGATTTATTGAAGTAAAATATTGTAGGTGTTTATTGAAATACCTTGCCATACAAGCTTTTTTTATAAGAGCAATTGCGAAACGAAAATAATAAATATTCGAATACATAACTCTATCTATAGTTATCTTGCAAAAATATGCAATATAAGCTATTATATTTTCTTCTCAAAACCTATTTTGAGTATTATTATCAAGGTTTTTTTTTTCAAATATTTTATTCGTAGGAAATAGAGTATATAAAGATGTTTTATACAGATGATGTTTTTACAATGATTCTTATTCGTCGTTGAATAATAGAAAAATACCATCACAATAATCTGGTGATTCTCTAACAGTCACTTAGACATAAACGAGAGGTAATGATCTGTGACTAACTCGTGGTAGGGCAACAAATTTTTTGAGAGGGTACATAATTAATGATTCACACTAAAGTTTAATCAAAATGGCGACGACGGTCGCCGGCATGCCGCAGTCAATTTAGCGTTAAAAGCGCGCGAAAAGCTCGCGGTCACTTCCGCCGGTAATGGCGCGCGCGAAATTAGCGTGACGCGCCCTACAGCGCTGCTCACACCGCCGCCGCTGACGATTTAATGCTAATAGATACGCGTGCAATGTGAACATAACCCTACACGACTTCAAACAATAATTAAACCCTTACTCACTTTTATATAGGATATCGCGACAGTTGTCAACGAAAATATATATGGCATTGTAAATTACGACATGTTATTTCGGGCCTCCGTCTTTACAAAAACAAATAAAATACCCATTTTTATTGCCCGAAAAGCTTGAGATTTGCACTCACTATGTACTTTACGTAATTATTACAATAGAGTAGCGTCAGCATGCTACTTTGATTTAAATAATCAAATTAATATATGTATATATAAATACACGTAATAATTCATATGCAGTGATGGGTAAAAATAGAAAATAGATCACGGGTATTACATCTTACATTTCTTGAGACCTTACTTTCATTCGGTATCTATATTCGATTTGTAACATCAACCCTAAATTTTTATTTACCCGCTTTTACAATATTGACAACCCTGTAATACATACTATGTATATTAATTTTAATTATTGTAGTCTTTACGGCATCATACATGACAATATTTATATTATAATACATATAATAAAATGTAATTAAGAATAGTATAAAGAACGTTATTATAGTAATTAAGAATATTTATTAGTATAAAGTACGTTATTATTTATTTATTTATGTGCTTTGTTCAGGATATCGGCATTTGGACGAGGGTGAGTGTAGTATATTCTCGGTGTTAGAATTTGTGCACAGTGTATAATATAAATTATATATTACATAAAAACTATTACTTTTCTCTTATATGTTGTTATTATAATATTAAAAAAATACTCCTTGTGTGTGAGTTTTACAAGTATTGCGTTTCTTATATAAAATATAATAAGTATATTATTAACTAATGTACACATCTATACAAATATGATCTTTTTTCTCGAATTTAAACTGCTGTGAGTGTTTTTAATGATTATAAAAAAGGTAGCAAGGAGTAATTGGTTTATAATAACTCTACACTTCCTTTTTCATTATTTTTGAATATTTTTATTTTAACGTTTAATTAAAATTGATCAATGCTTCCGTCTTTCCCAAATGACAATTCTTCCTTATAATTTAATGATGAAAAGTTGCATGATGTTATAATATAATACTTTCAATCGAGAACTATGATACTCTAAGTGATTTTTTTAATATATTTTTTTATTTAATAGGTCGTTCGTTTTCATTCATACCATATTTAATTTATTAAGTACCTTAATATTTATTAAGACCTTTCTATGTTTTATGACAAATGTAATTTTTTAATAGACACATGAGTAGATTTTTGTTCCTTATAAAATAATATGATCATATAATCGTATAAGTTTTTTACATTCATAAATAAAAAAAAGTAATAATAACTTGACAAAATATCATTTGCGTAATAGAGACGAAGTGTTATTAACTGTAAGTATTAATTAAACGCACTTTAGTATTTTCTCTCGATGTTGTAGTAAAAATTGTTATTAAGTGACTGTGTGTTTGTGCGATATATTAGTTTAACGTTTTTAATGTTTGTTTAATTTATTTGCAGCGAGTCACGGGCAAAGGAAAACGGGCGTGTGCCAAGCTGGTTTTTCCGCTGCCGTTTCTAAGGTAAAAACTCGATGGTAGTTGAGGCATTATTTTTATAATTTATCATAGAATAAATGTATGAAGGGTTGCATCACATAACGTACGGAATGGGACATTTTTAAAGAACAGTTTTCAGCGCAGTTAGCACAAACAATCATCGAGAGCGAATCGGATTCGAAACGAGCACAAACATCAAATTTTTGTTCGATTTAAAGTGTGCTACAAATGTGCTACTATTTACCGCTTAAAAAAATCCAGTATGTTTAATAAGACAGAAATATTGCAACCGAAACCGTCTCACCGATGTCGCTCAGTCCCGCCTGCTGTGTGATGAAACCTTTATCTTAAACATCTTTAAAATTACTCATTTCGATCATATTTAACCGCAAGGGTTGTAAAGTGCATCTTTAATTGTGAAATGAGCAATAAATTACACTTTTGTTTTGTCAAATTACCAAATGTTACGGTCTTTATATTACGACATTTTGAATAGCGCCATTTTGGTGTCTTGCATGAAAGTTCAACGATTAAATCGATATGAAGCAAGATTTATAGCCCATTAAAAATATTAAATTAGTAATTTACAATATATTAAAGGGCGTACAGGTTTGAGAAAGTGAATTTATTAAAAAATTATATTTTGCACTGGTTTACCTATACGGCGGCGCGTGAGACTTATTATTACATTATGTTGGTTTTAATGGTTATTACATTTATTAATACTATGACACGTTATTTAAATGTTAGATATTTTTAAAGTATTTATCTAGAAATCAAATAAAAAGCTGCTGTATGTTATAGCTCGGGCACTTAGTACCTTATTAGCATTCTGTATTATTTTTCCAGATAAGTTTTAACTGTGCCAAAATCCAATCTCTCCAATTATGTTCGTAAAAAAGGTATCAAGTTTTGGCTAAGTATTTTGATATATAAATTATTTAGATAATGGACTGATATATTGAAAAAAATGGATAGTAAATTTTATATAAGCGTCTAGTAATTTTGACTTCACGGCTTAGTAATCTTCGAAAAACATGAATGAATGTGTATGTGACTTTGTCAAAAATTAATATAGACATTTTTCCGATGTAACGTAGTTTTCCGTTTACGAAAAACAAAAGAAAACATATTGTCTTCGTAAGTATTCATGTAAAACATCGTGATTTTACGATCGTGGGAATAGCATTATTTTTGCCATGTTGGCATTACCATCGTGATCGGGGCCGGGCACGTGAGGCGCATGCGTCCGCGCAGCCCTTATGAATTATTAAACCTTTTATTGTTCCGAGTGCAAAAAGTGAATGAAAAAAAAACTCGCATACGACTCCTATTTTGAAAATAGTTTTACTGCAGTTTTATTACTTCGCTATATTTGGGAGACAATGATGATTTTTGAATAGGGGTAACTCCGTTAGTTTTTATAGTTTTTTTTATTAATGTTAGCAATGGTTTGTGGCTTGCGAATATTTTACTCATGCAATTGATAATTGTATTGTCATTTTTATTATTTTCATTACCGACACATAAATTTTATAAGTGTAGTTAATTGATATAAGTCTACTGCATTTTTTCAGCTTACCATGTTACCTAAAGAGTATTTGAATAAACAGAGATTTATAAAGATATAAGAACTTGTGTGTATAATGACAAACAATCAGATATATACGAGTCTCTAAAATAAATTTTTATTGAATTTTTATAATTATAATGACATTAAGTTTTCGCGCTGGTTGTATTTTGATGATATCCATAGATACTCGTACATAAAAAGTATACATGGTGCATATTGACATATCAATATTAGTACATATAATATTGGCAGTTCTATATCATCTATACATTAATTTGAATTGTATATATATATATATATATATATATATATATATATATATATTTGAGTATATTTAAACGTTAACAAAAACAATAGTCCAAGATCCAAGTTAAAGAAATGTATTGTATATTCAGGACTCATAACACCCGCAGTCACGCCCTTTAGCTATTAATTATTTTATCTAACCCTCCATCGCACCATGAGTAATGGGTCCACGTGATGTGCAAAAAAAGGAGTCACAACGTGATTGGGAAATCACGAACACAAATTATGTTTAATTTGAAACGTCGTGAGCTATCGAATTATCAAACAGTTTTTTATATAACCACTGCATCTTTTTTACTAACTTGGCTATCTGCAGAAGCTTTACAATTTTTGGGTTTTGTGGGATGTTAGTTCTATCTGGCTACGTATCAAAGATTAGCATCAATTATAAATAAACATACACACAACATAATTTTATAAGTATCATTATAGTAGTTTTATTTGTTTTGATAGTCTACTGATGACGATACTGACTAATTTGATACCTTTTGGCTAGTCGCATATTTCTGATGATCATGACTTCCTTTAAATCTAAACCTAGCCTGACTGAAATATTATCTAATGCCTGAGAGTGCTTTCATACAATATACATATAATTTACAATGGATAAGTTGAAGCCTTTCTCTCTTACACAAAGAACAGTTTTGTAGCTTCTCTTAATTTATTTTATTCTACCATTGATATTTCAAATACTACGATTGTCAAATCTAATAAATACATTTTCACGACCGTCTTTCCTCATTTGTAATGTATTTTTTTTTTCTAATATTATTCAACCTACATAGCTTGTTTCGGGTGCGCGTCATTCATTACATCGACGATTGATATAACCCTTGGAGCCGCAGCAGCCTCTTCTTTGTCGTGGCATACTGCATTCCATTAAAAACATCAAAAGAGACATTATCAGAACATATCCATTAACATCCTGGTCACGTGCCGACCTCCGTCTCACTTTGCGGCAGTTCCAGTAATTCTCGAGAGAGCTTTGTGTAACGCAGTGATAAAACATCGCCGAAACGGATCCTATCATTTTACACAATCCACTATTTCATATTGAAATAAATTCTGTTTTTGTCATATAAATAAATGTTGTAATTTATATGTATAAATTGTAGCCCCCTGTATAACTTTGTAGTATTTTGTCCAAGTCATTTTTATGTCGACAAAGAAGAAAGTTATTTAAAACATTGTTTTGTATTTGAAAAGAATTGCGAAAAATGGTTGACTGATTCGATATTTTGGAAAAATATCTATTAAATATAATAAGACTACACCTATTTTACTTAACTGGAGGCCGGATTCATGTGTCGAAATGAAGCCCTGATTGATTTGCCAGTTTGGCAAATTACCTGTGAACTAAAAGTCTGCTTTTTCACAATTTTGTCATGTAGTGTGCCGAAAGTGAAAGAATTTTTAAAATCGTTTCAGTAGTTTCGGTTTCAATGTAAACAATTAAATCTTTTTTCTTTTTAATATACCTATAGATTTATTAAGTGTTTTATTATACAGTTTTTTTATTACAAGTGGGTTTTCACGCATTTAAACGTGCTTTCATTCACGATTTACGCTAATTCCCGCTAAATTGAATTGAATTTACCACTACTGATAGTATCTCTAGTCAACAGCGTCGGATCGGTTGGCCACGATTCAAATCATTTAGCATTTAGAACATAAACGACAGTAACTTATTGAACTGTCTATGGTTGAACCTATAAATTTGTCCGCCTTCAATGGTAGGTGCGAAACTCGGTCGATTCATTACTATTCATTGGTAGACTTCATCACTGACTACAGTGTAGAATTCGTAACGATGGATGTGACCTGTGATTGTGACTAGCCTTTAAGGCTGCTTAGCCTAAAACAAAGATAACACCGTAACAAGAAGAGTCGACGCAGTACATAAAATCTTGAATGTTGACTTTTGAAAAATCGAGTGAGTAGGTAAGAATTAGGAACATATTCCAGTCCAGTAAAGTGGTAGAAAGTTCTGAAGAAAGTTGTATCTATGCTTATAGTTGATCCGTACATTATTTTATATTATGAAATATAAACACAGAATACTTCCGACAGCCCATCATTGTCAAGACACCGCGGCGTTTATTTTCCTTTAGAAACTAGATAGATTGTTGTGGTTATTTTAAAATAAACAAAAGTTTTTTTATTTTCCATTACATAGGCATGTAAAGCGAAATTCCTTGGCCGTCCCAACATTGTTTATGGTCTGAGCAACGTTTCTGAACGTAGGCCGTAAGCGGCGGCCATATTTGCAGACAATGGCGGGCGGCGGGAAAAGCGCGCTTGTCGCCTGTGTCGCCGGACAAACGGATTTGTCCAGCAGTCAACTGTTTTTGGTCACAACTTCTTTTCTGAGATGTCTATTCGATTTTGTTCGCTAAATAAGGTTGAAAAATTTCCAATCGATGAATTTAAAGTTGGCCCTGTATAACTTTGTAGTATTTTTTAATACAGAGTAGGTATTGTGTCACAGTATATAGTAGTTGAGCAGCTCGGTGGCGCAGTGGATAAGCGCCCGGCCTGCGGTCGTTCTTGTTTCGTAAGGTCATGGGATGGGTGACTAGAAAAATATTATCTCGAACTACTCCGTGTTTCAGAAGGCTAGCATGCCTTCTGAAACACGGAATAGTAGTCGTTGGTCGCAGCTACATTTGCAGTCGTTAATACCCCCCAATCCGCATTGGACTAACGTGGATGGTCATGGCCCTCCTTAACCGTTTATATGGAAGGTCATGCAGTGTGTAAAGGGCTGATGAAATAAATGAATTCATTAGGCCATGAAGTCATTTAAAAATATTAAAAATAACAAAAAAGGTATTACAATACCTATATCATTCATCAATCGTTATAATATGCATAATGTAAGAAAATTGACAAGTGAAAGTTGTCTATAGTATACTCATCTCCACTAGCAGCACCCGTCCACGTGCATGACTCAAATATTTTTCTATAAATATCGCATCCTTATTAGATTCGAATAGCATACTAATCTATTTTCAAACGACGATGTCGTTGAAACCAGCTATAACTTTGGCTTCAAACATTTGCAATGGAAATAAATACGATCCATCGCGTAAATATTCATCTCCGTTTTTCGGACAATGAAATCTTTCACTGTAGTTATACGATGGTACGAGGTACTCCATATCGGCGGGCAACAAGTGAGATGCCTCCAATATGTTTATGCGGAGGATTGCGCATTCGATTATAACACGGTGTTTTATGTTCCATCATTCCGATCCCATGAGAACTTGCATTATTTTAAATAATTATTCATCTTTTATTGAATATTATACTTTACAAGCTGTTTTCTCGCAACTTCGCTGGTAGATCGGTCCTGTCATTTCGGAGACTATTCGATGCAAACAAAAAATCAAATCTTTCCTTTTTATAATATAAGTGTAGATTAAATGCAATTAAAGTATATATAAAAAAGCTGTTATTTTCAATATAAATGGCATTACATCTGTCATATACAAAGTAATAATGTTAAATTCTAAAGATTGAATAGCTTTACGGGGAAAAACCGATTTTTTGTTTGTTTTGTTATGAACTTAAAACTACTCGATTAATTGAAAAAAAAAAAACATATTTCATTTTATTATCATCGAGTCAAATTGTTAGTATAAACCTTTAGTTTTTTTTTATATTTTTATACTAGGGATATTTCCAATGGCTTAGCTCGTCTTAACGTAGACTAAAAAGCGAAAATAATATTAATGAACGTACTTGGATGTGTCATAAAATCGTATTTTATCAGTATTAAAAAGGGCGCATGCGTGGTTGTCTATCTTTATAAGGTGACACTCGCCAGCTACTCGGGTGTCGCGGATTCAGTGGTAAATTAATGACTTGATTTCACTTTTATAAATAACTATATACTTCTATATTTATGTTTTAGAGTTTTTGATATTTGTGTAAAATCTGGCGATACTAGAATATAAAAAAGTACATAAACATAATATTAAGACAACTGTTTCCCGTGGCTTTAAAAGCGATACACATTAAAACTAACGAATAGGTATATTTTCATGTATAAGTACGAGGTAAGGTAATTCATGAGGAAGGTTTGAGTATATAATTCATTAAGGTTTTGTGCATATTGGCTGAAGTATGACAACGATTGCATGCTTCGGGAGAAATCGTACAAACTGACGCGTCTCTTATTCATAAAACTTTATAAATTGAAACAATTGGTGTTAAAGACACTTCGTTCGATTCTTATATCTCATTTAATTTTGATTTCATTAATATTTTCAGTAACTTTAAACTACTTTTTCAACTAAGTCGAAATCTTTTTATAAATCGATAATACGAAATAAGTTTTAAAGTCCCTTAAGTAAGACTTTTTTTTTCACAATTACGTGGAATATTCGGGACTTTTTTTGACTGCCGAATATAATAAATATTATATTATCATGAAGTAATATTTCACTAGCAGAGAAATTTAAAGAAAGCATTTTTTTGTTAATTCACAAATCGACTAACGGTTTTTTTTTTATAAAAAGAATGTCATCGATCGGCATGTTAAAATGTACCATAACACATGTTAACAGTGCAAGTTGTATCTTTGTCTCGTTCTTTCAAGTTGGTTGTGACTGCAGCACGCGGTTTATCTTACACGTTCACACGAACGGATTTGTTGGGACGTCTGTTTTTTGTCTCCTGTGCTCTATGGTACAAGGAAGGAGCCGTTAGCGAATTATATACAGATAATGTTAGGTATATCATGAAATTCTTCCAGAATGCTTATTTAAATTATTGACGTTATTACACAACCAATGTTGTGAAGAAAATATAATTAGCTACGACTTTGGGTTTTTTGTTACTTTCATTTTCTAAATGTAATCAGTCCAAACTAAACAATATTGTTCTCGACAACTTACCCTTGGATTTAAGTGTATTTTTAAATGTATTTTTTATAACATTAAAAAAGTATTAATTCACCAATACAAAAAATCTGTCTAATAATTTCCGTCATTTGGAATTTATTGTTAAACTTCTTTTAGATTCACTTAGTAGCTGAAATTGACGAGTAGAAATTCTCCAACATCTGCAGTAATAACACACCTTAAAACACCAGCATAATGGATTTGTACACATAAAAATAGTAAAATTAATTTGGTGAATGTTAAATAAAATGTTTAAAATTCATCACTTAAGCCAAACATAATAAGAAGACATTCCGTCTATCTACATGTCAAGGATCCGTTAAAACATTAAACTAAACGGGAGCTAAGAGTGAGATGGGTCACTAAGAACTCACATATATAATATACAATTTGTTACGCCACCCTTTTCACGGTATCAACTTCCTTTACACCCACAATTCAATAAAGCGACTCCTAAATAAAATATACCAATATAAGCCTCGCAGATATCCATATGTTATGATTAATAGGGATGATGACTAGGTAAAAAAAATGCAATTTTATTTAGTCCGTCAGTCAGATAATAGAAAAATATTAGATTCTTATTTTTTTTACTTCAATTTAACAAGAAATAGCTTAGATAACAGGCATTAAAGTTGAGGAGTGGGGGCTCGCTACGTCACAGTTTAGTAGAAAACGTACCATAACGTGACGTCATGCGAAATTTCAATTCCATGTAACGCCGTAATTTTATGATTACGAAAAAAATAAAAAAATACGTGTTTAATATTTTTTAACACTCTACCTGACGGACAAACAAACAAAAATTAGTCATCATCCCTATTGAAAGTGAAAAATAAAAATTTTATTTGTTATTTCGTCTTTTCATATTGGTTATATTGAACTCTCAAATGTGTACAATTCCAAAATCCTTTACTATTAAAATGTTATATTGTTCCAGTAATATAATGGTAATTAAAAACAATGCTCTGATGAAACGATAAAGTACCGTTTTTACATATACAGACAAGTCTGACAGTCATACAATATTTATATTATTATAAAATATTATGCTTTCGTTACTAACGTGGATTGTTGCTTTGTCACCCACTTCAAATGCTGTTAAAGGAAGTAACAACGTTTCACATACTTATAAATCCATAAACTTTTATCTCTGGCCACAATTAGGCCGAGTTCTTCACTCGCATTACCATAAGTGGCCCGTAAAAAAATAACAGGATCATTCGATTACGGATCGTAAAACATCCCTGGACAAGTGCACGTCTGTGTCATACTATTGTGGTGTGAACTTTTATTTGTTTTTATAGTTACTCTCTCCAATTAAATCCAAACCTGATAACTAAAGAAAAATACCCTTTTTTGCAGGATGGTGAAAGATTATTCATGGGAGCTCCAGGCAGTTTCTACTGGCAAGGTAATGTGTTGTTATTAATACAATTTAGCTTAAGATTCAATGATATTCTTATTATTTTATTTATCTTTGTTTTTATGTAAGTCATCAAAATATAATACAGATATTTATTATGTCTCTATCAATCGTTGTCAAAGAATGATTGCTGCTGGAAACATGTTTTGACACATCACGATATGATGTGATAATGTTATGTGATTAATATGCTGTATTTTTGTTGTTTGATTTGCAAATGATCTGAAACTGGATTTGTAATGGATATCTACGTATAATATCCAAATCTGATAAACTTTATCAAAATAATCAATTTAATTGCGATTGTTTGTATTTAAAACGACTTATATATATTTTTACCGATTGTCAAGAAACAAATTTCTTTATGAAAAGGGCTTCGGTGTTATAAAACGTCCTATACGTAACGTAAGATGCGAGGATATGAGAAAATGAGGTGGATCAAAGAGGAACTTAATATTATTTTGCAAAATTATAATTTATATAATGAAATGGGATTATTGGTTATATTTATAAGAAATTTAGTAAGGATAAAATTTGATCCACGAAGTGTACTGATTGAAAATTTTAATCCCAATCCGCAGGGCGAACGTTAACAATAGACCTTACCATCGAAAACTTCAACTATTTTATGCCGAACATACCAGAAGAAGGTAAAAAAGACTTAACGAACGCCAGATTGACCACATTTAATTCTTAACCGATATAACATACATAGCGAAAGGCTTATGAGCGCCTAATTATCAGGCTTAAATACCATTCATGCAACTTTGAATGTATCCCAATCGTCAATTGTAACTGCTCTCCTAAAGATTCAGAAAATATTTGAGTCAAAACAAAACAGTTACAATTGTAAAGGAGAGATACGTTTAAAGAGAATTTGTTATTTTGCTATTGATGTTGGTTACACTAAAATTTAATTTTAGAACTAACATAGATAGCAGAACTACCTACCATTAGCTTCTCAAACCATCGTGAACTTACACAATAAATGTTGTTGTCTAATATGAATATGAAAAGGGAATATTTCCAAATCCATCCTTGGAGTTGAAACCTTAGTACCTTATGTTTAGATCTGTTGACCTTAATATTGTTAATGTAGAAAACGTAATATGGAATTAAAATTGCACGCTCTCAAAAAAAAAATTAAGTTATGTTAGTATTGTGTTAATGGATATATTTATTTAGTTATTTAGATGACATAATACTAATAGAAGAGCCTTTGGAAAAAGACATTCAAATGGATATTAAAATGTCAGGGACTTACTATGTTGACAGGGTTATAATGTTGTTATTGGGAATACCTAAATTAACGCTTCAGACATACTTAAATAATTGCGCCCATGCTTTAAAATCGTACCTACTAATTTTACTATGTTTAAGTAATAATTCGTTGGCTTTTCTTTAATCTGGACCATTAACAAGGATTTGGTGATATTACATAACAATATTAAAATATCCCTAAATCCTAACGCTTTTTTAAAAGGTGTGTAAACTTAATTGTATGGATTTTTTTGGTGAATCTTAAAATCAGTCAGTCTAAATTCAAAATTTGATATAAAAGTAGTTTATTATCTAACAAAAAACAAGTTATAATGTAAAATGATCATTTTTAAAGCCAGTAAACAGTTATTCTACTTTACGCAGACTTTTTAATTAATGTACTTGTACAATTATAAATTAATATAAAAAATCTTAAATTATTATTGAAAGTCTGGATGCCAAACAGCATAACGTCTGATCCATCTGGCTGCCAACACAGTCGCTTAAAAATCACGTCATATACTTCACTCCATTGATCGCGTTGTCATGAAATTGTTCATATATTTAAGTAAATAGCATGTTTAAAATTTCACACGCTGAATGGTATCTGTTAATAATTATTCATTTTAGGTCAACTATATTCTCGGAATACGAGTCAAGTGATCCTAATAGCTACTCCTGAAGCTAGCCCTAAGTATGACGATTCGTACATGGGGTACTCAGTAACAGTAGGAGATTTCGTTGGCCATGGTATCCAGGGTGTTGCAGTTGGTGTGCCACGGGGTGCAGACTTAAAAGGCTTGGTGAGTCAAGAATAATCCTTGCAAACGTCAAAGTTCGATTTAAAAAATGTGTATGATTTATTAAGATATATCACAATTAACTTTTGAACTACCATTTAAATATAATGAAAATAAAATGAAGGCATACGAATCTGTTTTCCCTAACAGGTTGTTCTCTACACCCGTGATCTTCAAAATTTCAAAAACATAACAGGCTCACAGATTGGTGCATATTTCGGCTATAGCCTTGCCTCCGGTGACATTGATGGTGATGGTACAGATGATATAATTATCGGAGCCCCCATGTTCACGAAGAAGAAAAGTGATGGTTACGAACATGGAAGAGTTTATATTATTTATCAAGGAAAAGATAGAGTAAGAATATTAAAAATCATTTGAATAGTGCAAACATCTAACATTATAATAACTGAAATATATTCTTAATGAAAAATGCTTAAAAAATCCACTTTGTTCCTGACACTCTGAGATAGTACTTGAACCCATGACCTTTGGATTTTGGACATTATTTATTAAGAATATTTTTCAGTATAGCATCGTAAAAGCAAAATTGATCAAATATAATAATTATATATCTGATTTCAGTCTTTTATGAGGCATCACGCTAGAACCGGTGAAATATCTCGAGGCAGATTTGGATTGGCTGTCACGTCACTAGGAGATATCAACTTGGATGGATTTGGAGGTAAACTGAAAGTTCTACCAAATATTTCATACATAAATTACAAAGACAATACTTTTATGACAAGAGAATCAATATGTCGTAAATGACTCTGTTTGCGTCTAGAGCAAGACAAGTTTCCTCGTTCTCGAGATTAAAGTGCGTGTTCTCAAATTAACTCACAATGTTGTTTTTACTTCTTAAATCTTTAATTGTTAATTACAGATGTTGCCATTGGTGCTCCATACAGTGGCGAGAACGGTCGAGGTATTGTCTACATTTATTTAGGTGGTAGAAATGGTATTTCCGAGAAACCTTCGCAAGCAATAACTGCTGAGGAAATCTCCCCGTCCCTCACCACCTTCGGATTCTCCCTTTCCGGTGGTGTTGATCTCGACAACAATAACTACACCGACTTAGCTGTTGGAGCGTATAAATCTGATAGCATTGTCTTTTTGAAGTAAGTTATTAAGATTATTAAGTACTTAGTATGGCATTTTCTATTTTTTTTTTCCAAAATCGTTTATTTGTGTTATCTTATCCATTCAGATCTCGACCAGTAGTGAAAGTAATGGCTGAAGTCAAGTTTATGGGAGAGAGTAAAACTATATCCTTGACGGAGAAAGGATGCACCCTGTCTAATGGGACACAGGTGGCCTGTGCCGATGTCATGTTCTGTTTGACATATAATGGGATCAACGTTGACCAGCAGATTAGTGAGTTCCTTTTTAGTCCACTATCTTCTTGCTATCATCGGTTCCATGATTATTATCTAATTCAATATGTGAACAAATTAATTCACTTAACAACGGCTCTTTTTGTCAAAATAATATAACATAAGATAGTTAAAACGTTTATTATTAATAACTACACACAATTACATCGAAAAAGTTTTGAATCACACCAAAAAGTTAAATCAAACAAATTATTAATCATGATGTACATATGAAGATGTAAAAGTTAATGTTATTGTAGTTTGAAAAGTTTAGAGGTCAATTTTTATTTAAGAATCAAAATAATGTGTTCTCTTTTCCAAGCGGAGGGATATATCTGCTACTTCGGTGAGTGGTTTGTGTAGAAATTGGCGTATCACAATAGCGAAATTCTAGAGACACCACTCCTTGTGATTTCAGTATCAAATACTTTTTTTTTTATTTTCGATAATATTTCTCAAATATTAAAATACATTTACAACTACTAAAAAAGAAACATAAAGACTGATGTTGTAAATGTTAATGAAACCGACTCTTATTTAATTTTTAATATGACATTGAATGTTTAATGTTAGTCACTGTAGTCGTAGTAGTGGTCGCACTGTTGCAAAGATTTAGAGAATATGATATGCCATATTCTCTAAATATGACAAATATATAAATGGATTGGCGTATACAAAGTTTAGACTAATTATTTTATGTTTAGAAGAGTTAATAACATACAGCACTACATCGGGTTAAAAAAGTGAATTCTATAAATTTTGAACTTCTAGTAAAATAATGTTTAAACATATTAGAATAAACTATAATTATGATTACTATCTAGCAATAATGAAAAATTAGATATCTTTAGAAATATAAAAGCACTGAAAAATAATGTTGATAATTTTTTGAATATTTTTAGATTTTGAAGTAACACTGGACCTGGACTCACGCCAGAAGACCACGAAACGATTATTCCTCATGGAGACGAGAGAGACCACTTACAAGACCCACATACTGTTGACTCAAGGTCACCAGGAATGTAGGGACATCAAGGTTTATCTAGACGTAAGTGACAATTTTTGTAGACAATATATGTGTAGTAATTAATTTTGTAATCATTGGGCTTCTGTTGCAAAGAAACATAAATTAAATAATTTTGACAAAAAATGAGGCAACGTTTATTCCAGAAAATTTAAAAGTTTTTCAATGTAAATAACCCACTGGTATTATATTTCAGGAGGAGTTCCGAGACAAGCTAACACCGATCGAAGTCAAGATGTCATACGAGTTAATAACGCAGCCATCGGGCAAAGTGGTGCCACCAGTCTTGGACCAAACCGAGGAAATGGAACATACGGATTCACTCAACATTCCTAAGAATTGTGGCCCTGACAACATCTGCATTCCCGACCTTAGACTCGCCGTAACTACGTAAGTTCTAAGCGATTACGAGCATCTATTTACCCAATATTTTTTTCACCTTAAAGCCTTTTGGTATCAAAGATTATCTAATAGCATTAGTCATATAAACAAATCACCCTAAGGCTTTTTGCGAACTGGCTTCTATCTATACGGAGCCAGCTCGCGTTCTAATGAAAAATATTGAAGATCATCAATGATAAGATTATTCAGTAAAGCAATGTGAATGCGGAATTAATCAAATATCATAATCCTATCGAAAGTTTAAGTATTTGTAAAAACATTTCTTTTGGCTGTTTGCCTAAATATTGATGAGAATACGCTCTGCAGTAGCGAAAAAGTAACAAGTGTTTGAAGGATTCGTCAGTTCTCTTAGGTCCTGGGTAGCTCAGTGGTTAGAGCAGTCGCTTGGATTGCGAAAGGTCATGGGTTCAAATCCCATCTCAGGATGCCAGAGATGAAGTGGATTTTTAAGCACTTTCATAATATTCTTAAATTAGTTTTTCAAAAATTTTCATAAATTCTCTCAGCCCTACCGTTAACTACGTGCTCGGGTCCGGGGACAACGTGAACATCGACGTGCGGGTGGAGAACGCGGGCGAAGACGCGTTCGAGGCGGCGTACTACCTGCAGCTGCCCGCGGGCGTCACCTACGCCAAGATGGAGCGCCTGGACCAGGAGCGCGCGCACGCCGCGCCCGTCTACTGCTCCGTCGAGACCAGGCGGCAGCGCGGCAACGCCACGCTCAAGTGCGACATGGGCAACCCAATGCCTAGTCGGCAAAAGGTAGTAGTCAAATATACTCAGAGAGTAAGTCCGAAAACTAAGTAGTACTAAATAGTGCGAAGCGCCGCGGCCTGCGATCGTTATTCCCAAGCAACTTTCGTAAGGATCGGTCATGGGATGGGTAACCAAAAATTTTCATCTCCGAGCTACAGCGTGCTTCAGAAGGCACGTTATGCAGTTGGTCCCGGCTGAATGTACAGTCATCAATACCTCCAAACCGCATTGGGCCCGCGTGGAGGGTTGTGGTCCATTCTTCTTAGCCGTCCACAACAAATGCCTGAGTTCCTGCATTTGTTACGAAAGGGCCTTTTAATGTTAATGATTTCGTCCGCAAATTGTATTGTCATTAAATTTTGCTCAGATAACGCTGTTTTTAAGTCACGCCACACATAATATATTAAAGATTTGCTTTCTCATGGCACCGGATGAAAATTTTTAGAGGTAGTATCAAGTCTTTGAGGGCAGAATCAAGTTTTAGAGGTAGAATCATACCTTTACAGAATCAACTTTAACTTATCTTTCTTTTTCCAGGTCCACTTTCGTTTAGTGCTGGAGGTAGACGCGCGAGTGACAGCGCTGAACTTTGACATGGAAGCCAACTCCACGAATCCTGAGCAAGACACAAATTACGACAACACTATGCGCTTGTCCATTGGAGTCGTCATTAGAGCTCATCTATCAGTCTACGGGTAAATACAATTTTAAATGGATTTAAATTAAGCGCGTACAATAAGTAGCTGTATAAGAAATCTCTTTGAAAGCTCTTGTGGTGAAATTAATCACTAACGTATTAGAAAACAAACCTTTGATTACACTGCAGAACTGCAATTGAAAAATAGTCTTTTCAAATTTCAAATACTCTGGGCTTACTTTACTGACTTGATTTAAATTCTAAGCCTAGATAGATGCACATTTCTTATCTATTGAATTAAAGTGTCTAGAGTAACAACAAAATTATTATAAATATAGCAATAACAGTTCTATTGATTTTTATAAATTGTGTCTACTTTTCAGAGCATCAGATCCACCAGAGCTGCACTATAACGCATCATTGTATGGGTTGGATGTGTCAGGTGACGACGCACGTCTGGGGCCGCAAGTTATACACAAGTACAACATCAAGAACGAGGGTCCCTTCACTGTGGAGGAAGCAGAGATATTCGTCATGTGGCCCTATCAGACCCTCGCAGGTGAGTTGATTAATTTGATAATAGATTCATGGGTATGAGTACAAGTGCCACGGGCAAAGTGGATATTTTAAGCATTTTCCATTAAGAATAGAACTTTAATTGGAAAGATAAGAATACCAGCATACCCAAAAACAATATAAGATATATGTTGGCCAATTACAGGTATACAATAGACATACAACATTTGTTTATTTTTTATGAGAGATTGATATTTTTAAATTAATTGAATTATATATCACAACCATCCAAGTGGTATAATCAGCCGACCAATTGGGCGGCTAGTCTTTTATTAAATGGCGCTATTTAATAAAAGGGCCTACTTTCGATCAGCCGAGTAACTTAACGTAACGTTCTAAAATACTGTTGAACAAAGGATAGCCAACTAATTAACTGTAAATTCATCGGGAATATCGAAGTTAATTGGTAGGATTAGAAGTAAAACAAATTAAATATTGTAGTTTGTGATTTTAAGTAATAGAAAAGATAACTATAAACTGCTTATTCGCAACTGGGTGTTAATGGTCCGGGATCCAATACTGGAAGCTAACGTACACACCAATAACAACATTGAACTTTCATAATAAATTATTAACACTAATACAATTATACAAAGACATAAATAAGTATAGCGTGATTCAGACGGCAACGGCGCCATCTATAAAAAATGAGAGTAAGCAATGTATTTGACTGTATTAGTATGTTTATTACAATTTCGAACTTTGCTGCTACAATAGTTAATAACAACAAAAAATTATAACAAACGAAGTTATTTTGGTACTGTAGGTCACGTAGATAGGTTAGAAATGTTCACTACGCTTCGTTTCGAGATCGTCTTGAGTAAGAGGTTATTTTTTTTAACAGGTAACAAAAGTAAATGGATATTTTGACGGCTTTTAAATTAGTAGTCTTGTTGAACGGTCCAAATGTCATAATATCACGACAAATATCGAAATTTTCGAGATAAAATAAAAACATTTTTGTACCAGTCAGCAGTTGTATTGTAATTGTATTGTAGTTGTATTGTAATTGTAATCATTTTTTTTTACTTTACTTTCTGTTTATTGCATTTTATATATATATATATTTTTAAACATAATTCTACATGGTTATTATTGTTGTGAACTGTTATTCTGACATTGTTGTATAATTTAATAATCTGTGATCAAAATTGCTTCAATACCAATGTCGTATCGCCTAAAAAGGTGTACGCATCAGACCGATAATTTATTGATACTGTACTGCAAAATATGTATTAATGCATACACTGTTGGTGTCCTATAAATAAATAAATAAATAAATAAATAATAACTCAACTAGAAAACTAGGCATGTAATTTAATGACGCTATTCAATTAAATGCCTAGCCGCCCATTGAACGGCTATTTTAGCCAGTTGGCTGCAACACCTATAAATCATGGCCAAATTTGCAATCAATGGTCAAACCTTGTTTTCGAGAAATCATAAACTTGTGGGATATATCTGGCCTGTAGTGGAAAAAAGCCAAATATCTTTATGGATTCGATCCTGTTATTATTTAATTTTGTAATACATGTCTCATGAAGTTTGGTTAATATTTCAGGTGAAAATTTGATGTACATGCTGGAGCAACCGCAATGGCTGGGTGATATGCGCTGCGACGTCGCGCGTCATGTCAACCCCGAGAACCTTAGGATCCAGACGCAGTACATCAGCCTCCTCACTAAAGAGAAAGAAGGTTAGAAAACTTACATACCTATATTAAGAAATATTCTTTTTTATATTTTACGATAAAAATATGTGAGTGACTATTATTTTATTACAGCCATGATGAGCAGTAATTTATATTCGGAAGTACAAATCAATAGCGGCGGTGGTTACTATGGGCAAAGTAAGTACTTCTGCATTTTTTATTTTTCATGTATCTTCAGGTACTTGGAATTGATATATTTTTTTACTTAATAAAACATAATTATGACAGATATTTGGGAAGAAAGCTCACAGGCAGGTGGCCAACATGGAAGTGGACATTTCGGTACTAACCAGGCTACAGGAAGTCAATCATCCAGTCGTTTCGGTGCGGGGCAATCTTCTGGTAGTTCGTTCCAAGAAAGCCAGTCGTCCAGCAGGCATTATGGATCTAGTCAGTCAAGCGGAGGTCATTATGGAACCGGTCAGTACGGGACGAATCGAGGAAGCTCCGTCGTCAGCAGTCAATCGTCGGGTGGACAATACGGGACTGGTCAGGCTTCCAGCGGTTCCACCGTTAACAAAAAGTATTGGAGCGATTCCTATGGTGAAAATTTCACTGTCGAGGAGCAGGAACAGATAAGGAGAGCTCTGGCGGCTGCCGCCACGAATCCGGCTGGTGAAATAGTTCTCGATAATGGCAAAGTAGTGCGAATAAGAAATATCACCAAATATTACGACGGACAGGGGAGAGTGATATCTCAATCGGAGACGAGCACCGAGTATGGAACATTAGGCCGCGAAGGGGAAAACGGCAGCTCGTTCAATGTGTAAGTTTATTATACAATCGTTGTTTTACTTCTGTATCGATCGTAATTTGAGCAACAATATATCTATGCATATCATTATTTTCTTCCAGCTATGCCAATCGCGGAGGTATCGCCACCGGTTCCGGAAACAGTTATTCACAGTCTTCGGGACAAGGCTACGTTCAAGGATCCAATAGATACGCACAAGGAGGCGCTTACAATCGCGACTCCAGCCAAGCTGCCGGACAGGGATTCGTGCACGGTTCTTGGGGCACCACCGAAACTGTCAATGCTGATATAATGAACGCTGGCTCCACGTCATACCGCGGGGCTTCCGTCACTAAGGTCGGGGATGATGACGATGACCTCGAAGGCTTTGCTGCGAATGCGGCTCTCAATCCCAACAACGAATTCAAGATCGGAATGGCTGAAGTATCGGATAGCCACGGCTCAAGCCAGAACAGTGCCGGAGTACAAAGCGGGGTTTATCAAACCGGTAGTAGGCAGGGAGAAAGTGTCATCCGCAATGGTGGTTACCAAGGAGGAGCGAGTTACCAAAGCGGTGGTGCATCGCAAGCCAGCGGAGGATATCAATCAAGGACTGGCGGAGGATATTCTTATTCCACTCGATCTGGTTAGTGATCACGATTATATATCTCACGCAGAATTTTGAACTCGAGATAGAAAAAAACTATTACTTTAATAATATTTAATATGTAATACAATATTTTCTTTTGAAATGTCTATCTGAATAGTTTTTAAATACACAAAAATATTCATTAATATTGTTGTAAAATTATAGGCGGCCAGTCGTACAGCTACGGCACTGGTTACAGTTCATCGTCCCAAGAAAGAAGCACTAGGAGACGTCGCCAAGATCAGGTTATTAGTGTTTTCCTAGTTATAATATAATCCTTAGACGTGCCTAATTATACACATAACATTGGGTTCTAATCTTATATTGCAGGTGAATTCTGAGTTGAAAGAAATTCTGGAGAAATGTGAAGAGAAGTACAAGTGTGAGGTGCTGAGATGCACTACTGGCCGTTTGGTCAAAGGTCAAGAGATCTGGTTGGCTTTGAAATCTAGGATAAACGCTTCCGTTTTAAATGAGGTAATTTTCACTGTTATTTGCATAAAGTATATTTTGGAAGATGACAACAAAGGTACTTCAGGTTAGATATATTTATATTTCAAAGATAAAGCAAGTCGGTTCGATGCTGTTACAGCTGATAAAATATCGTAAACATGTTCATTTATTAAATTTAAATTATTAATGAATCATTCCAGTCAGGTTTATGTCATTAATATTAAGTAGGAACGTTACCGATTTACCATAGAGTCACTGAATGCAACTATACGGAGACATTTTAAACTTGGGTGAAGAAAAGTTTCGACTAATATTCTTAATGCAAAATGCTTAAAAATCCACTTTGTTCCTGGTACTCTTAGATGGGACTTTAATCCATGACTTTTCGCAATCTGGGCGATTGCTCTAGCCACTGAGCTACCTAGGACCTTTTTTTTTTTTTACGCTGAGAAATGCTTTCCGCATGTCCGCTCCCCCCATGCGCTGGGGTTCACAGGGTCTGTGGGACTCCTCCTGTGGTCCCGCCCCCAGAATGGGGACTAGACAAAGTACAGGAGTTTACCCACTAAAACTCAGCGATGTCCCTCTCATGGTGGGCGAGGCGCGGGATCAGCCCGGAGGCCATACACCGCGCAGTTCGCCCCCATTTCGGTCCGCCCCGAAAAGGGCAGGTCCCTCGCGGGTTGGGCGGCACATCTCAGAGACACTCGAGACGTACCCCCCAGACAGGGCGGAGACGTGCAATGCCGGCTAGTGCGCGAACCAGCCAGCTGCCCCCGACTAGGGACCAGAGATGCGCGACTGTGCATTTCTGGTCTCTTTCCCATCTATTGGAAGGACCCACACAGGCAGAGCCCTTATCGTGGATCCTTCCCCCCGTACGGTCGCGGCTACCACCGGAGTAAGGCCCGACCACAGCCCTGAAAAGGGCGTTATCAGGCCTCATCAACCGGCTCCGCCGCCCCTCTCTGCACGCCCCCGGGAAATGGTGCCGCCCGGGCCGGCCGCCACACACACCAAAGCGGTGTGTATGGCGGCCGACCCGGGCACCCAATCCGGGGTGAGCTACCTAGGACCTAACAGAACTGATGAATTTTTCAAGCACTTGTTACTTTTTCGCTACTACAAAGAGTATTTTCATCAATGTTCAAGCAATCCACCCAAACAGCTGAAACAAATATTCAATATAAATAATAACAAATATTTATTTAAACTTTCGATAAGGATGAAAATTTGTTTTGATTATTATATTTGATCAAAAATTGCATTAACAATGCTATACTGATTTTTTTAAATCGTTAATTGCTTATATAATCCATTTGCCCCATCTCCGAGTGCCAGAGAAATATAATAAGTTTCGATTATTTTAGGATACAGAAACGTTAGGTACTAAATGACAAAGGACATCGCCGAAAATGGCCCCAATACCATTAAATATTAATATTTCAATAATAATTACTTATTTATTTATTAAATTGGAATTAAATATTTATTTGACACGGACAAGCTGCGATCCAAAATTAATATTTAAAAGTTCTTTAACAGTAACATTTTTATTCGCAAATATTCACATTCAATATACTTAAATTCTATTGAGTCAGATGGATGTAATTTACACGTCAGATCAAGAAGATCATTTATTTTTATTAGATAACCTTTTAATCATCGAACACAAATTAAATTGAATTGACCGAAAATAAACTTAAATTTACTAAAAGCGCCATCTCTTGGTGATTTTCCAACTAAAGCATAAGGACATAAAAACTGAATATTATACAAACTAAATTCATTAACTGTTGATAATTCACTCTTGTTTATTCAGAAAGATTGATAATTCATACGACATATCCTAAAAACTACTTTGTTTCTATTACATTTCCTTTATATTTCTCGTAAACATATTAACATCATGTCATTTATGTATTTAAGGCGCCATCTTTTGATGTAAACCATCAAAAAGCTATAGGTTTTTTAATTTTAAGCTTATCAATAGGTATATTATTTAACTATTAGAATGATTTATTTGTCTATTGATTGACTTTGAAATTTTTACAAATCACAACGAAAAACCGACTTTCTTAAAGTTTTTTTGCTTCGGCAATATAGACATCAATATCATATCATGTACTTAGAGTGCCATCTCTTGGTGGTTTTCCTAACAAATTATAACCTCAAAATGAATTATATTTTGCGTGATAATAAGTTCTAAAACTCGGTCGCGGTATAATAAATACATAATGAGAATTAGTTAGTGACACACAATAAAATAAGTATTTTCCTATATGTTTTTGGCTCTGGGGCCACCAATGTATGGACGTTGAGCAATGTCCTTTCATAGAGAAAACTACATCATAAAATCGTATTCGCTTATGAATGGTGTCGCACGCATATTAGCATAATAAGGCGTCGTCACCACGCACGCGCGAGCCTTTCTAGTGTTGATGCGTGTGTTCCGCGGGGCAGATATCAAAGGAGCGCGCGGTGATCCTGTCGACGCTGGCGGCGGCGCGCGTGGCGCGGCTGAGCGTGGGCGGCGCGCGCGGGGCGGGGGGCTGGCAGCGGGCGGAGGCGCGCACGGTGGTGGCGCCGCGGCTGGAGGCGCCCGGCGCCGGCGCGGTGCCGCTGTGGGTCATCATACTGGCCGCCGTCGCCGGCGCGCTGCTGCTGCTGCTGCTCGTCCTGGCGCTGTACAAGGTGACCGCGGCCGCTATATTACTGTCCTGAGCGTGGTACCCGAAGTGCTACCATTTCTGTCCGTTCTCTGCACTGGGAGAGCGCCCAGTCGATGTAGTCCGCTTTGCTGGTTAGATTTTTTATTTCATTAATTTGGACCGCCAGTGAAAATTACAATATATCTTACCTACATATAAAATCATATCGGTAAAACACAAAATTGCAAAACTGTAATGAAAGCAATCACGTCATACTTTTAAAAGTAGGGTACGAAGATAAAGTATTAAACGATCGAACATTTATATCGAGTAGGGTATTGGATTTTCGACGTAGCCCAGCATCCCGTAGTCCTGTCATGTCTTTCCGTTGAGTTCTCCGATTATGTGAAAGAACAGTTTCGAAAGTATAAAAAAATCTCCACTCGAATGCCGTTTGCGTCGCATAAACTTTGAAAGACTTTTAAAACGCTCGCGTATTGTTTTCAGTGCGGGTTCTTCAAACGCAACCGGCCGTCGGACCACGCCGAGCGACAACCGCTGAACGGTCGCGACGAACATCTCTGATACCCGACCACGGACCTCGGCGTGCCCACGGACACGGCGGACACCGCGGACACGGCGGACACGGCGGACACCGCCCGCACCGCGGACACCACCAGCTCCTCCACAGACGCCGCCAGCGATCTCACCAGCCGCAGCTCCACTAGTCTCGACCGCTACTGACGGACGGTGCTCGTTTATAAATTTTAATCTTTCGACGATGACGGATCGCGGTATGATCTAGACATCTAAATAGTGAGTGTGTAAGAAGACGCACAATAATTTTGACGTTGTAGAATTTCATTACATAGTTACATTACCATTTGAATCATTTATATAAACCGTTTTTCTACCGGCTCGTGTCGTCCTAGCAGCGATTTACGCGGTGCCGGCCATTTTGAGTAGGCAACTAAAGTGTCGCCATTTTGTGTAAACTATGATCATCGATAAAACTAACTGTAAAATACGTGCCTTCGGTGAACATAACTTTTAAATACTACAATAGGCTCTGTCGATGGTCATTTTTACAAAGGTTGTATGATATAACATTCATTATATTTTTAACTAATTTATAAATAAAATAATAGTTGTGACAGACGTTAAACGTGGTTATACTTAATGAGATTTAGTTTGTACGTATCGTGAGTTTGTGCCTTGAACATTTTTAGTCAAAAAAATGTACATGAAGGTTTTAATGAAAACACTTAAATTAATCTGTAAATAATTATTGTAATATACTACTAGTCACGATAAATATACCTAATGATATATAAAGAATACAAATTTTAGATGTTTGTCATTGTTTAGGGAGGGGATGTCATTTTTAAGTTCCTTTTCTATTGACTATAGAGGACCTTCGGTTGCGTTCCTTAACCTAAAGAACCCTATATGCTTACAACATCAAAAAATTATAACACGATATATAAATACGCACAGTAATATGCAGAAATCTTTTTACCGATTACAATCTTTCATATACACGCTGATGCCAAGCTGTGTCTAAACGGACGTCCTATTCCGCGCGGTAGATAAGCAAAAGTTCACAGATCATTTCAAGGTGTGCTTGTGTCTGTGTCTGACACGTATGGTATGTGAATAGCATTTTATATTTTTCATATTAATTTACCATATCAAACAAAATTAGAATCACGATAATAGAAAAGATATATATATATATATTATTGATGTGTGATAGAATATGGTAGTATATCTTAATTTGTATGAGAGATAATTGTGATCTAAGATATAATAGGTGATTTTTCTAATTGACTAATATTTACAAATTGGTCGCAGTATACAACTAATCGTAATGCTTTATATTAATTAACTGTTTTTATATAAAAAAGGAGGCGGTATCTCGAATATTCCGGTGTTGTGTTATATATGATATTTGCAATAAGAAATAAATTGTAATAAAATAATGATACAAAAATAAAATAAGTAACAGATAATTTTCAAATCGTACAACTGTGTTAATCTATTATAAAAAAGCCTCAAATGAGACCTACTTCAAAATGTAATAAAGATTTTGTTTAATTGAAGCCTTAAGCTATCACAGCGCTGCGCACGACGTTGATTTTGAGGCTGTATTTAAAAGGTAATTACTTAAAAGATCTGTATTTTTATAAAAATCACTTATGAGAAACTTTAGTAGTTTTGAGGTACTTGAGAAATCTATCATTAGCTTATAATTAAAAGCAATAAATAAAAAGTATCGACGTAGAAATAAAATGTTAATTATTAAAGAAAAAGGCTTAATTCGGAATTTTTTAGCCTAAGGTATCTGAAAAAAAAATGTTAGGTGAAGTTTACTATTCTCAAATTGAATGCCTTAACTGCATATCAGAATAATGTGTCATTGTAGTAAATTTTATCGATAATAGCAATATTTACTAGAGATCGATAGAGCTATAGCTGCAGAAAATGTGTGTATGTATGTGCCTTTATTTAACTGCCATTTACTAAAACATTAATGTAAATATTTTATATAAATATATTAAATAATTGTTGCATTTTTTCACAGAAATTATTAAGAGCTAATTCACGTTCGCCAACATTACGTACTTAGATTATTTTATTTTGGTTTAACACAAGTAAAAAAAAGTTTATAAGTAGTTTTTAAACAAACTGCATTCGATAGAGGTCTGTGAAAAAGTGGCGACAACAAAAATTCTACTAGTAACAATATTGTTATTTTTTTATTAATTATTATTTATTTAATTTCTCCCTCCAAATGGATTCCGCTTTTTTCATATTACATCTAGTTAATAAAAAATAATTTAAGTTGCCATAAATAATTATACAATAGCAAATGAATATATTTCGGTTGTTTGTCTCGGTAACTCTTTTGCATTTACCAAAAAATATTAAAATAAACCTTGTTTTTTTTTATTGGCGTGTTTTTATTTTCAAGCTAGCTTTGTACTTTTAAAGTCTTAATGCACCTTAAGACTTAAATAACTTATTTCTAAGCTGAACTCAAGGTCGAAGCGTGGTTTAAGTAGCAGATAAACCGCTGCGGAGTACCTTCATTAAGAGAGGA